GGGTGCAGACCAGCAGGGAGGACGGGGACCCCCCGCGGACCCGGGCGGGCAGGCGGGGGCCTCGCCCAGCGCGGGCCTTTGCCCCAGGAGCCGAAAAACACCCGCAGGCGACGTTCCGGGAGCCCAGGGGCGCGGCGCGGAGCTCAGGACCCCGGGGAGCGAAGACGGTGACTCGAGGTGACCGCGCCGGCCGGCGGCTGTGACGGGGAGGGGCCCAGCCTCCAGGCTGCGGGCCTGGAATCCGCACCCGTGAGACTGGCCTTCAGGTGAGGCGGCAGGTGACGCGTTTCCCAGCCTGTGAGCGTGCAAGCCGACCTCACACCAAGTCTGGAAAATGACCGAGACACGCCCCGGCGCGTGAGACGGGACCTGGGGGTGAGCATCGCGGGGAGCTGAGCGCGGGGCAAAGCGCAAGTGACCCGCGCCGCTGGTGGTGTCAGAGGATTTCAGAATCTACAGGAAAAGGTTTAAAGTATTAAAATGTCCAAGTTTCCACTAGAGAAATGGAAGCAGGATGTACAGACTTCAGGACAGCTGGGGGGGGGGGACTGAAATGAAGAAGAACCAACAGTGCCAACAAAAGCAGAAAAGAGGGAAAGATAAACGCATAGTAAAGAAGGATCATAGGAGATAGGAATGAATTCAGATGTTTGCGTCATGGGAGACACGATTGAATTAAAGTCATCTATCAAGACTGAGACTCTCAAATTGGAATATAGATACTGTTATATACTGTTTACAAGAAACACACCTAAGCCCTGGCTGGTTTGGCTCAGTGGTTAGAGCATTAGAGCATCAGACTGAAGGGTTCGGGGTTCAATTCCAGCCCAGGGCATGCACCTGGGTTGCTGGCTAGGTCCCGGCCCTGGTCGGGGCGCCTGCAGGAGGCAGCCGATCGCTGTGTCGCTTTCACATGGATATTTCTCTCTCTCCCCCACTCTCTCTGAAAAGCAGGGGAAAAATATCCTCCAGCGAGAATAAAAAATAAAAAAAGAAACGCACCTAAGAATGTGACAGAGATTGAAAATAAAAGAATGGAAAACGTGTATCACAATTTTTGCTCCTCAAAAGACGATAAAGAGAAGAACAAAAGGCTAAAAGTTAGAAGATATTCGCAGCAAATGTACCTTGCAAATGATGAGCATCCAGAATATATAACGAACACTTTCCCGTCCAGTAGAAAAAGGCAAGCCAATAAAATGATGGGCAAAACCCAAAATCGGGCTCCTTACGGAGAAGAGCATGGAAAGGGCCAATAACTTCACGAGTGATTTTAGGAATGCAAACTGAAACCACAGCAAATGAGTACAAATGTTAAAGTCTGGCAATACCCAGCGATGGCAAGAAGATGGGTCAACTGAACCCTCCTGGCCGGAAGGTCGGGCAGTGCAATTATCTTGGTAAATAATACGGCATTACCAAATGGAGTTGGCTTCATAGCTCCAAACGGCAATCGTTTCCTCTGCTGGTGATCTGCTGTGTCAGCAGGATTCAGCAGTCACAGCTGGTGGACTCCATGCCGTGCCATCTCCACTGGGGCTGCAGGGGCCATGTCCAAGATGGTGCACTCATGTGGCTGGCAAGCTGGTTCAGGCTATGGGCTGTGGACCTTGGGGATTTCCTCGTGGGATGGTGGTCAGGTTCCAAGAGCAAGAATCCCAAGACAACCAGGTGGGACCTGTATCACTTTTTATTTTAACTTTTTTTGGCAAGGTGACTCACTGGGCTTCCATTTTTTATACTGTCACCTCAGAAGTCACACAGCAGCCCAGCTGGGCATGGCTCAGCAGTTGAGCATCAGCCTAGGGTCCAGGAGATCGCCGTGCGATTCCTGGTCAGGGTTCATGCCCAGGTTGTGGGTTCGATCCCCAGTAGGGAGCATGCAGGAGGCAGCCGATCAATGACTCTCTCATCATTGATATTTCTCTCTCTCTCTCCCTTCCTCTCTGTCTCTAAAAAAATCAGTAAAATAGATTTTTTTAAAAAGAGGAGCGTGAGGTTTGGGAGAAGTTGCTGCGGCCACACTGAGAAAATGTAAGCTGCCACAGTGTGCATGCCTATCCCCAGCTGTAGAGTTAATCTGATGTACATTCCTAGGTAAATTCCATGCCTGGATGTAGGCCAGAGAAACCTGCACTTGTTCATGAGGGGACATACGCATTGATGTTCAAAGCTGCACTGTTCTTACTAGCAAAAACATTGAGGGAAAACCTTAAATGTCATGGATAGTAAAGTGAGGTGTGTCCATACAATGGAGTAGCACACAGGGCTAAAATGAATCACTTGCAACGCTTTGAGCCGCATGCTAAATCTCAGATAGTAACGCTGAAAGGGAGAGGCAGCTCGCAGAAGACCATAATGTAAAGTGTGAGTCCACTTACACTCAGAGAGAGCTAGGGAAGAGGTGTGTAAGTGCACACACACCCCTCCACCTTCTTCCATACCTAATAACAAACCTTGAGTTCATACTGAGAGCTTCAATTCCAACCCAGCAGGGTTTGTTCTGTCCTTTCCCCTTCCTGTGTAACGCTCAGCAGTGAGAAACCTCTATGCGTTCACCTAGTGGCTCAGTCCTCACTGTGTGTTGGGGCCATACCAGCCAGAAACTTGTCCCCAGACACATCAACCCTCCTGCCCATTAGATGCACCAGCCAAAAGCTCAATTCTGGGGACATCCCACCCCCACCCCAGCCCCACACCATTAAATCTGCTGTTGAAAGCTTGGGGCCAACAAAGGCAAGAAGGGCACTGGTGTTATTTGTTAATGTTCTGTATTCTGGCAGAAATTCTCAATCTATCTCTAACCTTTAATTTAGTAGGCTGCACTTTCAGAACAAGTGAAACTTTTTTCTTTAAGGTGTGCACTTTATTGAACCGGTCTCAAGTCAGTGTACAGTTAAGCCCTGGAAAACATTCTTTGAATGGTATTTTCTCACTTCAAAATTCAAGAAAAAAGTTTTTATTGGCTCTTCACTTTTAAGAGAAACCTAGTTATTTGCATAGTTTTAATAAAAGCCAGTCCCCCCTTTTTACCAGGATATAATTAGACAAATCACTTGTGCAACCAAGGCCTTATGTTGCTGTTGTATTTGAGAACACATCTCATGTGATTTTCTGTATGGCACATTCAGCTTCAGAACAAGGGATGTAACATCTGTGCTGAACCAATGTCCACACAGCCCTCAGGTCCACACTGGTCAGCTCTCAGTCTTCCAAGTAGTAAGGAAGACAGGAACTGTGGCAGACACCACAGTCCTCGAGAAGACAGAAATATACCTACGCTCACAGGTGAACCCGAGGAACATTGGTTTGGTTCGGTTTGTAACCTAGGAAGAGAAGAGCAAATAAGAGAAGTTAAAATCTCAGGCGTAATAGAGGCCCAGTCCTACATTCCTTATGATGACACCTCCAGACAGAAGTTGAATTTCCGGCTTGTGTGTTGAGTAACGCCATGTGGCTTAGGTGTGCTGGCCCAACCGGGAGGCTTGAGCATGTTAATTAGCACTTCTTACAGCACCTGTGTGGATGAATCAGGTCCAGACACAATTCGACCAGCTTTCTGTGCTCAAGAATAACCTTTGGAGATTATCATCATGGGTAAGGGACTGGGAGGCTGAAAAAGTTTTTCCAAAACATGAAAAGGCAGGAAGATGGCTGTGGGCCCTTTGAGTGGACGGCTGAGTCAGTTGTCTAGCAGACCTGCCGAGGAACTTCTCTGATTCAATGGGGTGTGCGATTTAACTTGTTATTTACTATTGATTGTGGAGGTGTTCTTTTTTATGTAACTCAGGGAGGGCAGACTTGTAGAAAACAATGGCTTGGTAAAATGATTCTTCTCTGAAAGCAGTGCAAATGAATTTTGCCCAGTAGTAAATGATAGAAATTATTTCTGTCTGTAGGAAAGATTACAGTTAGGAGAGGTTGCAGTTTTATGGCCCCGTAGAACACTGACCTGTTTTTCATCTAAATTAGCAAGTTTTCTCAAGCAAGCTTTTTTCACCCACTAGATACTTCCCTGTCTCGCCAATCTGTTGAAGCAGCCTCACCATCACGCTGGCTTCCTCATGAATGATTTAAATAAATCTTTCACAGATACTTACTTTAGAGCTGTAGAGTCATATTTTTAACTTTTTTGAAAATTATGCTTTGACAGCTCCTATATCTAGCAGCCTCCGTAGCATCTCCTCTGGGATGTCTAGTAGACGTCTCAAATTTAACACGCCAGATACTGAGCGCCTGGCCTTCGTGTCCAAACTTCTCTCCACCTGTCTTCCCCATCTTGACTGTATCAGCGTCAATGTCCTGGTTGTGATGTACTATTTTACAAAATGTTACCTCTGGGGAAACTAGCCAATACACACAAGGGCACCTTCTGTGTTAGTTCTTAGAATTACACATGTGATTCTATTATCACCTCCATAAAATTTTCAATTAAAAAAATTCCACTGCTAGGAATTATTTCTGAGGAAATAACCAGAAAGGTCTGCAAAGGCATAGGAGTAGTCAATCTTCTCAGAGAATTGTCTATGATAGAGAGCCGGACACAGCTGGCACTCTTTCCCAGAGCTGTGTGCCCACCTGTGCTGTGCAGCACCAGGCAGCCAACAGAGCCACACTGTGCATCCATGATTGGCCCCGACACAGGTAGGTATTTTAAGAGAAAACAGATTAGAAAAGAGTACACAGAGTAAAATCTTTCTTTTTTTTTTTTTAATCTACTGGCTTGTATATAAAACCTGGAAATGATTGTATGAAAACACCTAATTTTTTTCAACGTGATCCTTGCTGGGGTAGAAAGCTTCCCCAAGTTGGTTAAGTGCAACCCCTCCCTGGGGCCCTGCAGGGCCCCTGGGAGGCCAGCCCTGGCGTCTGATTGCCCAACTCCACCCTGATTAAGGCCTTTGTAGCTGTGTCCCCCAGGAAGGAGAGCCACTCGAGGCATGAGCCCCCGGAGAAAAAGGGCGGGACACCTTGCAGGTCTACAACAGGAGACTGCAGTTCTGCCTCTCACACCGCAAAGTGACAGTGAAAACGGTTCAAAGGGGAAGCTGAAGGGCACTTCCTCTTTGCTGGTCCTGGGGCAGCTAAAGCCTCCACTCCAAGCCCCCCCCACCACAGGGGGCTTGAGGACAGGGGGCAGGGATGGAGATACCTGGGTGGGAGGATACTGGCTGGGGGCTGATACCCGGGTGGGACTTGGTACCAGATGGGGGGATAAAAGAGTGGGGAGTGCTTGGGTTCACTTGGTGTCAGTGCCCAACTCCAGGCTGGGGGCCTCAGCCCCTGGAAGGCCAGCCACGGCGTCTGCTTGCCCCGCCCCACTCCCCTCCGGACACGGCCTCCAGCAGCACGCAGCCAGTGGGCATCGAGCATCCGTGGGGGTTTCTGTGGACCAGGCCATGTTAGGGGAATGGGCGCTAGATCATTTTAAGTTGATGTAATTTTCACAGGTCACGAAATAGTCGTCTTATTTTGATTGTTCCCCATGCACTTACGAAGGAGAAAACAGTCTTCCCTGGGGGACACACAGAAACAGGTGAGGGACGTGTTATCTGCTGCCCGCCGAGCAATACAGCGGGCATCCAGCATTGCTGCGTGCCAGGCAGCCCTGGGGGGGGGGGCATCGATGAGAACAAAACAAAACTCTGCCTTTGAGTTATGGAAATAAGTAAATTGTGCAGGGAATGAGAAGGTGCTAAGTTCCTGCCTGGCTGGCTAGTCGTGGAAGTCGGGCACCCGAGGCTGGACCCCATGAGCGGGCCAGGGGGTGCTGCCGAGGAGGAGGGGGG